GCATTTCAAGTTCTGCCCATGAAAAATCTGTGCAGCTTAATTAGAATGTTCCCCGAGACTCGTCCAATTGTCTCTCCTTCTGCCTCGCATTTCTCACTCCCTTTCCGAGAAATATTCTCGGCAATTGATTTGAATTTTGCCTTCTCCGCCAGTCGTACATTGTAACTCTCTTTTTCACTGCTCGTGTACGTTTGCTCCCAATACCAATGGTAAAAATCGATAAAAGTCCACCAACTGGTTCAGTTTACATAATTAGTTTGACACACACGAGAATTATTTAGACGCCGTGCTTGCCGGGGAGGGAAAAATCAATCAATCCGCGTCTTTTCTCGCATTTCTTGCATCTCCTTTTTCTCTCTACTCGCATTTTTCACCTCAGAAAGCTCTCAATCTTGCGTGCTTCGCCAGTGCGATCTTGCTGAAAGATCTCCGTACACATTGCCTTATCGGCTGGCCAATTTTATTGTTTTCATGATCCAATTTTCGTGTCATTAAAGATTTTTACCAAATGAGTATAAAAAAAGCGCATCAAGGCCCAAGTCATCTAGACTCATTTTCCCAAAGCAAAAAGATCACGTTTTCTCACGAAAAAGGCGCAATTTGGACTTCAAAGAGATCTTTCCTTGGATAGCACACCAATTAATTCGACTTTATCAACCGGAGAACCACTTAGAAAATTGGAATAATTCACTATTCGCGCCGGTATTTACTGGCTAATGATTTTCGTACGAAAAATGCTTGTTTGTTCAGAAATGTGATGGACAAGTATCCAAGCAACATAACCGTAAGATAACGATTCTTGCTGATTTCATTCTGAAATTGAAACATTTACCATTACTATTAATTACGAAAAAGGGATTCTTGCACTAAAACGTATAATTCACATAAATTTTAACGTTTTTCTCCCACTTTATTCATAAATCAATCTGTGATATTTCTTGACATTCAAGCGACTTGCGCTGGAAGAAAGAACGCACATTTGAAAAAAGATCACGTTATGGATAATGATGAGAAGTTGCACCGCTTTCTGGGGACGCTCGCAGAGAAAACACTTGGCGTCACTTGGCAATCGCTTTGGGAGATACACCAGCGCAATGTACGCGATAGAGTGATAAGATAACATCTCCTACAATGTTGGCAAATACGGGAAAATTGCCCTGATCCCTCTTTCACGCTCGCCAAGTGGCCAAAGAGCCAGCAATGCTGTCTCTCTCCCTCAAAGGTGCTCCGCATTCTCGCGATCTACGGCAATTTTTACAAAGTTAAATATGCTGTGTACGACTGGTATTTTATTAAGCGATAAAAATGCCACGATAGTTTCCACATTCCTCCGGATGCCACCAAACTCGAGTGTGTGCGACGCTGAGTGGAAAGCAGAGGATCCGCGATGGCTTGGCTGGCGAGGAGAGGAAATTGTCACCTCGAAGCCAGGGAAAAAGGCCAATTGATTTCTTACCTCAGCTGAGCATCATCAATTGGATGGCAATTAATGAAGATATTTCACGGTTATTTGTATAATTTCTCCGCGATCGAAATAACGGGCACGAGGTGTACCTTTTTAAAAAATAACACCGCCATGCCGAGCAGTGTTTGGAAAAATAGAACAAAATGCACGCATGTGTGAGGGGCTCAGAGTGTTTATTAAGTTGGTCACATCATCATCATCGTGTGGCGCGATTGTGTGAGTTGTTTTGCCAGAGAGCTTCTGGTCCATCGGATCTCCTCCTCTGCGCCGCGTTCTTGCATTCGTCTCAACTCCTTGTTCTCAATCGCGACCATCATCTTGATTTATTGGCATACTTAGTTATTATAGCCTTAAATAAATTCACACAGCCACCTTATCTCTATCATTTATACCTTTTCGATCATAGGAAAAAATCATTCTCCGCGCACACGAAGCCATATTTTCGTGAATGTCTACTGAAATACCTCTCTGTACAAACAATTATCCCTCATTTCAGTCGCGTGAAGGCATTTCTCACCGGTGCGACGAAAAAATTGGAAGATGATCACAAAGGATATATGCTTAAACGATCTTTAAAAATCTGTGTGCAGAAACGCAAAAACTCAAATTGATGTAGCATTGTCTTATGAGAGATAATAAAAGTGTATTTGCGGTTTTTTTCTTTAACCTCAAGAGAACAATTCACCCTTTCAATTATGCCAAACAATATAAAATCATAATTATCTCTGTGGAGGCAGAGAATGAAAACATCGCAGCGTTTAACTTGCGTTTTCACTATATGGAAAAATACTAAAACTGTATTTTTTTTTCAACAAAAATCGACACTTTTGTGTGAAACCCAAACGAGGTCACGCACTAGGTTCTCACTTGTAAATTAGGTGAGGCTCTGCTGTAAAGCTGAATGTTTAGAAACGCCACACACAGAGCGATAAAATTCTTAATCTTTGCAATTAACCCGCTGATAAGCAAATGAAAATAGCATGAAATTTTCTCCGCGAATGCGTAGAAACGATAATGTTATTTTTTCCCCTATAATTCCACTAGATAATCTGACTTGGCCAAGATGGGTGACTCAATTCATGACTAAAGTGTTGACCTTCGAGAAACCTGAAACATTTTTCACGCATTAATTGCCATGATCGTGAAAATGTCACGAAAACTGGACAGAGGGGGAGTGCCCTAGCGTGGCTGTGTGATCTTCCACCTTCTCAGCCGACTTCTCAGCGGCGCGAGGACCAAACGGAGGCGCGCGACGGAGGACGAGGTGAAGAAATCACGACAGAGAGCGGACGAGGTGAAAACAGAGAGGGAGAAGATCACTATGAGAGATCACAACGAGATCAGTGTGCGCAATTGTTTGCACTTTTTGAATTTATCCAACGACTTTTTCCGCCCCAAACTCGTTCTGCGGACGAGAAAGAGACAACAACGGCAAATGGGAAGAAATTGGTGAGAAAAGTCAGCTCTTACCTCTTCTTAGATGCTGTGCTGTTCTCTCAGTTTCTTGCTGGAGCACCTTCTCTTGGCGATCTGTGTGTGTATTCTCTAAATCCGTAAATTCTCGCTCTGGCGATCACAACTATCGCCGTCTCGTTTCACCGTAATCCAATATTGTTTAATTCAAAGAGGAAAAAACCTCTCTCGACGAAACTCTCGGCTTTTCACTTTGAAAAATGCTCTTTTTCGCGCACACCAACACCACCACACGAGATCGCGCACTGGCGGAGCGCCGCGGAGGAAAAGCGCACGGTTTTCAGAAGAGGAAAGCGCTCTCCTGGCCGATCCTGTTCACCTTTCGCGACAAGTCCCGGTGGACGCGGCGGCAGAATCGCACCTCGCAGTGGCGCAGAGGCAGAGAATTCGATAGAGAAGCACTTAGAATGGGAAGCCAGCACGCTTCGGCGATTTGGCGAGCATTCACCGTCTCAGGTACGCGGATCCGATGACGTTTTAAGAAAACCTCCACACAACTCAGTGAATCAACACACAACAAATCGATTAATCACTTTTGCACACACGCGAACTCGAAAATTCCGTCAACACACTTTTCCCAACTGCCCGGGCACGGAGCGGCCGCTTTTCCGACCACTTTTCCACCACACCACATCACCTGGGAGCACTCAGAGGCGCCCCGCTCGACAGAGTCCCAAATAATTTACTGAGAAAGTCAATTGCACAGCTTTTTCTCGCGCACAACAAACCGTTACGGCGGAGTTCGACTTGGCTGTGCTGGCGGCTCCGTGTTCAGTTGGATGGAAGCTAAGAGCGACGCGCATTCTACTCTTGCGCATGGCAGCCATTTCGCGCCAGTGGTGGGGAAGTCTTCCAGGTGTGTAGTAAGGCCATACCTGAAAAATTCCACAAGAAGCAGCTACACTGCCATGCGCACAGGCGCGAACACCTCGCCTCGCGAATTGGCCTCGCGATATACTTGAGCAGCGCCTGGCAGTCAGAGTCTCTTCCACAATCGGAAAAACATTCCGGGCTAGATTCAATACACTGTGCAGGGTTAGCCTAGAATTTCACGCCTCACAGCCCTGATTTTCTGATTGCAGAATGCAACTGTTGGTCTTGAATTAGACAATTTCGTGAAATCTGCTGTACTTCCCAAAGGCGAAACTCTGCCTCTGGGAAGAGACGTAAATCCAATAAGGTTGAGAACTGTGAATGACTGTTATTAATTCGGTTCAGTCATTAGATTTTCCGTCTGTCTGTGCAATGCTTGATTGAAGCTGTTTCTGTGGACAGGACACACTTTGTGTAATTAAATAATCTGTCTCGAAGTTCAGACAGTTGAGGCCAATTGACTAAAAAGCTTATTCAACTAGTCTCTCCTTTTCCTCGTGGATATTGAGAGATTCCGTAATCCATAAGGTTGATTGAATAATATATAAGATAGCTGAGAATGCTTGTTTTTCATAGAGTTTTCATTTCAGCAGAGCTAAAGCGTCTCCCGGGGAATTTTCATCATCATTCACTTGCCACCGTCTCGACCCACCTCGCAGGCATTTTCCTAGATTGACCTGGAAGCAGAGGTGGTACAATTCTCAGATGAGATAGTGTGAACACGGGAAAGGTTTTGTGACCAAATTCGCCCCTGGAACGCTCTCACCTGTGTGTTTTTCTTCATGAACGATCCCTCGAGAGTGTGTCTGTGTCCAACACACATTCTCCATCTCACTCACCGTGAGCCACTAACACTAATCGAGTTGTTGAGCAATTTCCACTGGGAAAAGTTGATCCATTTTTCCCTGGGAAAATCTCGCGAGAAATCACGATGCACGAGGCTGGAGTTGCCGCCGTGGACTCGGCGTGGGAAAGTGGGCTGATATGCTAAGATGCTGCGACTTGGGCGCCGAGGCACGGCCAGGGGAGATACGTTATGAATGAAAAATCGAAATATTGGAGCTCTCCAATGCTGTGTGGAACCTCTTCGCGCGATGTCTCTTTGGGACACTGAGCGTGTGTGAAAGGCTGATTCTGTGTACGGACACACCTGAGGAATTTGGCTATTTTTATACCTGTGCACCTCTCTTCAGCGCTCTTCCATGGAAATCCGGAGATTCTCGCAGCGCGGCACCACTGAAACAGGTAGAGCGAGTGGAGGCAAGCTGTAAAGGAGACAATTGGACCATTCGAGGGATTCCTGCGTCCTGCCCTCGCACAAAGGTCTCTTTAACTTCTTCCCAAACATCTGACTCGCCTTTCTCTGTGTGCAACACCCTTAGATGCAGGCGCAGGTCCTGGTATTTACACAGAGTTTCATGGAATGACAGTCCGTTACGATTTGAATCTCTTCTTAGAGTTTTGAAGCGCGATTTCATCTCTCTGTGTCTCTCTCCTCAAATGCTGGCGAGATGCCAGCAATTCAATCAAATCACCAACTTTCTCCACTTCAAGCTCAAAATCGTGAGGAAATACCTCGAAATTCTACCTTAAGCTCCACTGAATTCGTGCGTGTTTGGAGAAAAGCAATTCCCCGTCGTCCATGTAAGTCAATTAGACAGAGTTTGCAAGTCTCTGAGATTTTGCATTATCGATTATCTCGCTTTGACAAATTGCCAAATAGCCGTCAGATTGAATTCCAATAGCAGTGATCTGCGAGCGAGGGCGAATACGAGGAATAGTCAAATGCGCTTTCTCGTGATTATCCGATGGAATAGGCAAAAGAACCACTTTTCTCCACTTGGCGGAATGGAATGTGGCGATCGCGCCAGAGAAACACTCGGAAGTGCAATCCACTGTAACTATCATTTCCGTTCTATTGTCCACATTCATCAGGCTCCGTCCGCACCTCCAGACCAACATTTTCAACACTCACTTCACTCGCCCGTTCGCCCCCGTCGATGATTCCATCTGTGAATAGGAGAGAAATTCCACACTAATTGCTATATCTTCATAATTCTCCTCCATTCAATTAAATTTCCTGTGCGCCCCACAAAAAAGGCATTTATTCCTAACCCTCTCCCTGTAATTATCCTCGAATAAGATACCGCGGGAAAATGCCTGGCGCGGAGAATTTCCACCCCGTAATTTCTCTATTAGGAAATAACACAAACATTTTAGTGTATTCGTATCGTGTAGAATTGGGGTCACTTTTCGCATCAAAAGTGAATTTATTCATGCTCTACCTTTCTTCTTTCTCCAGCGTGCGTCTTCGCGAGATTGCTTCCACCGATTTGGCTCACGCGAGGGCAGACGAGGAGCGGAAATTTATGCATTTCAGCCCAAGAAGCTCCTTGTAATGCGAGAGAACATTAGGGAGAAATTGCATTTGAATTAAGGATCATAAATATTCCGCCAGTCAGACGTCACTTCGAGCACATGTCGACAAAAGTACTCACTGTGTGGCATGTTTTATTGCTCCAAATGTTTGGTAATAAGCAGTCCACAAATGATGCTTTGCCAAAGATTGGCGGAGTGAATTAAAAAGCATTTTACAATGATGCAAAATGAGATAAATTCGGTAAATTCCTGAATATTTTACACTCGAAAATCCCATAAATTGAATGAATTTCCAATGAAGTGTCCTGAAATGCCGCAGTAAAAAACTTTGTCAATTTTACCAACTCAATGTAATAACTTTCTACCGATGTGTATTACCGAAATGGTGACATTTTTCAAAATACACACCTCACATCCACTTACCATTGGCGCAAATACACACGGTGCATTAATATTAAATATTTTATGACGAGAGAATGAGAAAAATCACTCGAATTTTCCAGAGACGCTTGACACACACACAGCACGCGAGAATAAAAGTGGTTTTCGGAAAATATGTCACTCTCAATCATAATTTGTATGGCAAAATCCATGAAAAAGTCATGTAATTTCGCGTTGCAATGACTCATAAAAAAAGTCCTTTCGCATATTTTTAATAATATCCTCAACATTCCACCCCCGATACTCAATTCCTCGCCCGTGCATCGTGCTCTTCGGCACTCAATAGCTCTCTTTCTCTGTTCATGCACAATGGAAAGCAATTGAGGAGTTTGGGAAAATCAAAATTCGGCTCACCATCTGGATGAATACACCGCAATTTCCTTCACATCCACGCGACAAGCAAGTCTACTCTTGAATTCTGATTTATTCCTTCTATCGAATTTCACCCAAGTCCGTCGTGACTCACGCACGAGTGACTCGTAACTTCACCCTCGCTAAGAACTTCTCCTTCGGACAAGTTTGCCACCCAGTCGGACAGTGACGTCGATGTGCTGCTCGCCGACGAGGATTGCTCGTCCGAGGACACAATGGAATCGTGCACTGCTTGGAGGAAATCCTCCAAGTCCGCCTCAATCCTCTGTTCGCTCACTCCACTGGACTTTGGACGTCTCGGGACCGCCCGCAGAGGCTCAGCGACTACCTCAATGCTGCCCGTCGACTTCCGAGGAGCTCGGCTGGGCCTTTTCTCTGCACACTTCCGGTGATGACCTTTCTCCCCATGCGACAGGCGGTTCTTCCCGCACGGACAGCATGAGTAATTTATCTCAATTTGGTGATTACAGCCGTAACAAGAGCTCGTCTTGACGCCCTCAACTTTTGGCCACTTTTTCCCGCCATCAGCTTGATTTCTCCCACCAAATGTCTGTTTCTGTGGTGACAAGCCATTGTTTCTCGCCCATTTAGCTGAATCTGAAAAGGTTAGGAATTATATCTACCTCATACTTTGAACCAAGGGACAGATATTATGGTCGGAAGTGGTGTACAGCTTTAGGGAAGTGTTAGGAATTGGAAGTGGCAACATATTTGGAATATTTGCATCAGAAAAGCTTCTGTTTCAACAAATTTAGGTATTTTCTCATTTATTTTGCCGAGAAAAATCAATTTCATTAATTTTCTAGGTTATATGATTGATTTAAAGCAGTTTCTGGTTATTAAATAACCCTTAAAATAATGAAATTTGTGTCTAATCTGGGAATATTTCGCTTTATTTTGGCAGAGTTGAGCTTTTTGTGATAAAAAAGACTGTAAATTGGTTTAACTTAAGTAGTAGGAACAAACTCAAAAGTCAATCATAATCCTAAAAAATATTATTTCAGTCTAGTAGAATATCTCATTGCTTAGTTTTTTGCAGTTTGAGCTTTAAACTGGTAAAATCAACCTCATTATCTAGTAGAAACATTGAGATATTCACTCATTTCCAGATCTGAAATAATCAGTTGTATGTGTATGGTGTACATATTTAAAGCATATTATCTCCTCCTTGCTTTAAAGTTCCCTGAAGAATTTCCCTGCAAAGTCACGCCTTCGCTTCTTCTTAAACAGAGATTCTCATCGAGTTGAGAATATGTAAAGAATGATTTTTTTTTCACCTCCTCACTGTGTCACAGTCATTGTTGAGTGATTCATTAAAATCATTCCAAAAAATTGGTAAACATTCTCCATTTTGGGCAAATGAAGATCACCCATAAAATTCACCCGTAAAGTGTTGAGTATGAAAATATGCAAATTTTCATTTTTATTGAAATTCAAATAAATCATTCTTCAACGTGGCCATCTAACAACCATTTCAGTTTTACGAACCTAATCTCATTGCATAACTTTGTGTGAATTGTGCCCACAAAAACTGTCATTTCATTAAGGAGATTTGCATAAAAATTCGAGGACTGGGATTTTCGAGTGAAACCTGTTCAACTGAGTGCCATATCGCCAGATCTCTGTGCGAAAAAATCAATTTGAATTGAAAGAGTAATTATGGGTGTGCGAGCACTGAAAAAAGGAGGAAAATAAATCATTGGAACTCACGCTCGTCTTGTGGGGAAATTCCTCGCTTCTCCATGTCTTTCTCCGAAGGAATCGCGAGCTTTTCAGTGACACTCCCCCATTTGGCACTGCCTTGATCCGCGGGAAAGTCTATGGGATTATCTTCCTCAATTACTGGATAAGGTTCTCTGGGAAAATCCTCTATGGGTCTGGAAATTATCTTCGAATTCACTGTTCGCAGCATTTCCTCGAAAATCTGGCTGAGATGATCTTCTGTCTGTGGCTCTGGTGAGATGTCTAGTTCAGCTAATACAGTGGCATTGGTCTCAAGAGCTGGCGAAGAAATTACTTCAGGAACAACTTTGTCGGCTTTCTCGTGCTGTGCATCAAATTCAATATCCTCGAAAATGGGATTTTCCTCATCTGCAGCAATCTCTGAATCCCTTTTGTCCACCAGAGGGGATTCGATAAGGTCATTACTGCGCAAATTTTCACTTCCCTGTGTCGTTGAGGACGCATCTGCCAACCAATTTGAATTTTTATTGCTTGATGATGAGGTTTCGCGCTCAAATTCCACACTGTAATCGTCCTCTTGTTCCTCCTCAGCATGAGACTCTTCCAATTTCCTCGTTGGCGCCTCACATTGCTCGTCAATGTCCTCATCATCCGTTCCCGAAGCGGAAATTTCCAGGAATAGAAGATTTTCATCTGAATTTTCTATGATATCTGTTTGAGTTGCCTTTTGAACGCGTGCGACTGGTTGCACGGTGGTTTCACTGGTTTCGTCGCATTTCCCCCTGAAAATCTCTCCCCAAGATTTATTGAGGATGACTTTCCCTGTGACAATTTTCGTCTCTGTGTCCTGTTGACTCTGGCGGAGGGGAAACAATGCCTTGCTGGGCATGAAGAGCCAATTTCCCTGACGTTCTCCCATCAGACTCTTCCGCGTGGGCGGATTTGTCATTCTACGCTCAATTCTCCCTGCCGATGAGGCACTTTCCACCCTTTCCCTGCCCTCATGAACAACCCTGGCACGACATTGCGTGAATTTGGAACGTTGTCCATCTCGTGAGCACTTATTTGGCAGATGCTTGTGCCCCGATGACGCCACTGAAGCGTGCAAATGAACTCTGTGTGCACCTGGAGAACTTCTGGCTGACCTGCCGAGGGAATTGGTCACTCGTTGAATCACATTTTCCGAGCGGTTTAGCAAGTCCTTTATGGTTTTGTCTCGCACGGAAAATTCATAGCACGGACACGATGACTTTTCCTCAGTGGAGACGCCAGGTGGTCGATATCGGTTCATTTTCACCGCACTTTTTACTCCAATCGCCAAGGATTTTTCCACAAAATTATCCCCGCACTGCCTTAATGTACTTCTTCTTTCGATTTTCGACCTCGACTGAGGGTGAAATGCAGGGGGAAATGGAGTGTTTATCGAGGAGGAAAGCATTACAAGGCCATAAACTGCGGTGAAACTGTTTGCATCGTTTGCTGTGAACGTTGAGAGTTTCAAAAAATGTGAGAAACAAGCCGAGACACACGGTGAAACACGTAGCTAGGACGCATCAAAGGGTTTCTCAATGTGCACAAATAGAAAAATGAGACAAATCTAATTAAATTTTCCTTATATTTTTTCCACCTTGACTGTTTCTTCTTAATCCACGTCCGCTTTTAAAATCAATATTGTTTAGTACATCGAGTAAAATGCATTCCAAGTGTCTATTTTAACGACATTACATCTGTTTTCTCATTCTCTTACTGATCTTTCTTTGCTTATAAAGATTTTCACTTAATTTTTCACGTTACCTTAAATTGTGTATTATCTCAATTAACAAAGATATATAATAAATTAGAAAGAATCTTCTATCAATGATTGTATTCATTATTATATGAGTTTTTTTCTTCTATTATTTTTATCCATTTAAATATTCTTTTATTATTCTGCAAAATGTATTTATTGATGAATATTATTCAATTTTCTTCACTATACTCAATTTCTTCTTTTTTTTTTTAAATATTATCTTATTATAAGAATTTCTATACAAAAGATGGGTTTATAGAAGAGATTGTTTCTGTACTTATTTCTTTTCTTTTGACATTGCGTAGAAAAAGTGAACTGAGAAAAACGGGATTGATTAGGTAGAAAGAGTGAAGAAACCATTTTTCATCGCATAATTTGACTATGTACAAAAATCACTTCAATTTTCTATGTCAATGGTTTCACTGAAGTGCCTAAGCTCACATTCAGATGGTCTGCTGACGGATGAGAGATTTAGAAGGGGTTTTTGGGATGAGGGAAAAGTAGAATATTTCATTAGACGATAGTTCTACTGAATCCTACATTTACTTCCTATTATATTCTCATGATTTCATTATGGCAAATGTTGTGTTTTAAGTTTAAAAATGCCCTACGAAAGATGCTAAACAACTACAAAATAATAATAATGAAAATGAGACCATAAACAAACCATTATATTTGGAGGCGAAAAGTCACAGGAGAAACAGCTCGAGTACCAGAAAATAAGAATAAAATCACAAAAAGAAACATGTTTGAAATTTCACATTTTCTCTATTTGATGTATTTTACTTATGCTGATGTGTGTTTGTTACGTTATTTACATTCCTTTGCTTCTAATGCCTCTCACTAAATATAAATTATTTTAACTTTGTTAAAATTTTACAAATATTCAAGATTTCTTTTTCTTTTTTTTTACTCTTCTTATCATTCGGAATTATTGTTGCACCAATTTGTTTAAGATTTTCCGTTTTTGCATTTGCAAATAATCAAATTAAGAGGGTCAATGAACGGATGTCAAAAACAATCTAACAAGGTTTTGACAAAAAAAATCAAATCCACTAGAAAATCATAAATTTCCTAGCACATTCACTACAAGATGCCACGCAGACATCGTATCTTCGCTGGAGATCCCTCGCAAGCCATTCTTAAATGGTTTGCACAATGAAAATTAAAAATATATATTTGTTACTATTACTTCATCGATTAATATTTAAAATTTCCCATTCAATATTCAATGTTATTTGCTTCAATAGATTACTCATTAAATATTTCACTTCTCACTACATGATTTTATGTTCTCTTTCATCTCATTTTACTCCTTAATGATCTGATATACACAATATTTACATTCATGGCGAGTGTTGAGTTCCAATGCGCGATCAATAATTGACAATTAATTCTTTGTTTTCGTCACATACAAAATTCCAGTGAATTTGTAGCAAAATTTCTTCTTTTATTATGGGATCTTGTCAATGTTAATTCTTGCGTGTTTTTCGTCTTGTTTTTTTTTCTTTCTTTCTTTTTCATTAGGTGTTGCGAATACATGAGAATTTCATAAGAAACATGTCAATTAATCGCGCTCAGCTTAATTAATTAAGAACAAAAAATTACAATAAATGTATTTCAATATTTTCTCTCATTGATTCTTTTTTTCTCTATTTAAGTGTCAATTAGTTTCACTTTCGTTTTTTTTTAATATTATAAAGAAAAATTATGTCAATCACCTTTCCCATTTTATTTGCTATTTTGCTGCATCATAAAAACATTCATCATTTTTTTTCTTTTTTTAATTCATTCTGCGTGTGTATTTATTAATATTATTTACTTGTTTTACTATTGCAACAGAAAATGCTGAAGACGTGTATGTTGAAAGAACTGAGAAAATTCACGAAATTTTATCGCCATTTAATTTTTTTTTCATCAATTTATTATGTTCATTCTTGATTCCGTTTTTTGCTATATTTTCTTCGCCTTGGTTATATCGAAAGAGATAAATTTATTTATACTTCTTAAATTTTCCTTTTTACACATTTTCTCAAAACACTTTTCTCGTCTATTTTCACAGGAAAATTCCATGATATTGGAAATACAGAAAAAAAGAAAGGTAAACATATAAGAAGTCAAATTGCAAAATGTCCAAAATGTTTTTGTGTTTGTGTGTCTAACAAAATGTTACAAATCCTTGTTCTATCTTGCAATTTTATTTTCATATTTCGAGAAAATCTTCTGTTATTGAAAAAAATTCATCTATTCGTACCATTTTCTGTCATCTTCTAATGAATTCATTACGTTATTTATTGAATATTTCATCATTTTACTTTTAAATAACAATTACCGATTATGTTATGTACAACATTTATGACTTCTCAATGCTGATGGCGTGTCTGATTGGCGTGGAAAACTGAGATGCCCCTCGATTGGCGCACAGTCTGCACGAAAACCGGCAGAAATTGCGGCCAGGAGCGCTAAAATGCAAAGATTACTTTGTCTAAACCCTTCATCTTTTCGACATTCACTATTTTTATTTATCAAATATTCAAGTAGAATTCTCTGTCTGTTCAAATAGTCGTGCCTTTTGTACAGATATTCACGCTTATTCTTCACATTGTCGTACTAGACTTTCTGTTTTATCAATTTTCCTTGTAAACTATATTTACACAAACTTCACTTCTACTCTTGTTCCTCCATAATTTTTAAATTGTTTATTACTCCAAGATTATATCGTAAGATTACTAACCATATTAGAAAGATTTTCCATGATTTCTATGTACACGAGAAGGCGAATCGGAGGGAAATGTTGACAAAAGAATTTCACTCCAATTGCGCCTCCACAAATTGTAAAAATATTATATAATCTTCTTAATAAGAATTAAATAAATTCCTCTTTCTCATGTTAAATAGAAATATTAAACTTATAGTTACTGGGGAGAGTGTTTGACCTCTCCCTCGAATTTGTACAATTAAAAGAATTGATGGAAGTGTATTGTGGGCGGGAAAATCATGAGACTCCCCCTTCGTCAGATTTTCCAGTGGGGCTCAATCGATTGGAGAGACAACAGACGAGCGCCATAAATTACCCTCGACGCATTTCAGTCCTCAACCCTCGTTTGGGGCCTTATAATTAGGCTGTCTCACGTCAATATCACGTTCAGGGGTCGTTTGCGAGGATAATTGCGCCGTTAGAATGCAACTCGGCCCCCCTAAAAAAAACGTCACAGCACCCAAAAGACTCCTCGACACGCAAGGGGTTCGCCATAAAAGCCGCTTGTGACACGCACCGGATGCCAAAGCTGAAATCCGTGGCTAAGAGGCCACGAAGCGAGTCTTCGGGTCGGGGAAAGGATGTCAAAGTCACACTTTTTCGGACCCACTCTCCACTGCGCCACGCTCTTTCTCTCCTTCCAATTAGTTAATTGAATTACGGCAAAGAAAGAGAACTGATGTCTCCATCGAACCATTTTCCTGCCCACTTCCCCCTTAGCTTCCTGCAGACGGGAAAATCTGCTCATGTTACACAATGAAAAACTAGACAAACTATAGAGACAAATATCATAGATTTCATCAATAATTAAAAAGAACATCTCCGCCTAATCTCTCACTACAATTGAAACTCTGAAAATAGAGTTATTAAAATAAGAAAAGTGTTATCCACCTTATCAATTAGGTATATGTTTCTCTATCATAACTTTCTTCTATGTTAATGTATTTGTTTTCTCTTATCCCACTTCAAAAAGATTGTTAGCATTTTACAAGTTTCAAAAAATCGTCACTGTCGCTGTGTCTCCAAAGCGTCACTTATAATTGTGTCCTCGCACCAAAAACAACTGTGCAAGATTCTCCAAAAGAAAAAAGAAAATGTTACGTGCTGCGCCCCGGTCGTCAGCGGCGGTAAGCTCTTTCCGGCGAGAGCACAAACTTGGCTCTCTCATCAGCCAAAACACCTCTCCCCCCTGTGCAGCTGCACTGGCGCTGCCCTCCCGGAGGGATACACAAAAACAATCAGCTCATGGAGCCCAAAAGTCATTCTTGGCGGCACCGTTTTCCCGCTGCGCTCACAAGGTGAAAAGTTCGTTGGTGGCTCACTCAGTTTGCCACGGTCACAGAGGTAGCCAGATGGTGTGGGACGTCCACGGGATACTCTCGGGGGTGTCTGGAGGCGGGGGGCGTAGTTAAGTCTCCCGCTCCTTCTTCACCTTGAGCTCCTCACCAAGGATTGTGGCAATTTCGCCTTGCATAAAGGCCCAGGGTATCGTGGAATTAGCCAGGGGGCACTTCTCACCACTCGGACAGTACACTTCCGCGCCAGAGCCCTGCAAAAGACACAAATCGGCATTAATTGCGCGCCCATGAGCCTCCTACTCCCGCTCATCAACCCACCTGTCGCTTTATGCTCTCACGACTGCAGGGGAAGCAGAATTTGTGGTGATTGACAGATGGACACTGGACAAAGTGTGTGTCTTCGAGTCGCTCCTGGCACAGTGTGCACTTCAGGGTGGGATTGTTGGAGGAGTTGCTGCCCGGAGCACCGCCAGGACCGGCTGGCGTGCCCGAAGACGGCACAGCAGCACCGTTGCCATCCACCGTGGGCGGCACTCCGCTTCCCGTCACCGGATTGGCCCCGCCAACGGTTCCGGGAGCCACCGCCTGGCCCGGTCCGGGCACTCCGCTCGGCGCCGGACCGCCGTTGCCAATGCCAGAGCTGGCCTGCGCCTCTGTTGACGTCACTGTTGTGCTGGAGACATGCCTCGATCCCGACGAGCGCCGCCCAGACGTCGATCCTGCGGAGAGGCAGAGACAGAGGGGGGATCTTGTAGTCGTGCACATTTTTCCGGCGAATGGAGTGAATGAAGAGAGAGAGAAATCATTGCGATTTCCATGGACAGAGAGACACACATTTGTTAGTAACACAAGACAAGAGACTGGACAAAGTCACTCCCGAGAGACCCCAAATGGAAGCTCTTCACTTTCTCTCTGCGCCACAGAAATCCGCGTGAGGAGGATTGGCGGTGCCCCAGAGGCTGGTGGAATAGCGCACCAAAGTACCTGAACTGTTGGGCGAGTGTTGGCTTCCTCTGGAGGCGGATCTGGGTGGCGGAGGTCCTGGCGGACTTGGACCGCTCCTCGGACTTCCGGGCGGCAATGTCTCTGTAATAGACATCAGATTAGCCATCGGACTTTGCAATGGTGGTACTGGAGGTGCTGGAGGCGTTGAATCTCCCAGCGACACTTGTGGTAGTGGCATGGATGTTGGATAGACTACAAATCAAGAAAAAATTAGATTTCACTGTAATTTGTCTATTTACTCTGCACGTCGGTTCATTTGCTTGATTTTTTTTTGGAATGTGAGTGTTTTTGCAACAAAGATTAGCCATTTTCATGAAGATGCTCCACCGTGGGTCCCTTCCATACTCTCCCCAACTCGAGCAGAAATGAAATGTGTGTGTACGCGCAATTCCACTCTCAGATTCTCAGTCGTGATTCGCGATAACACATGTTATCGCTAACACACGACCAGTCTCCACAAGTCTCCAAAACAGATACAGCTGTTTCTCCATAGATAAGCGCTAGTCCTCAATAACAATCAACAATGGCTCATTCATTTCTGCCACGACGAGAGTTTGCAAGGAGTGACGACAGCAAAAATATACATGACGGTGAGTGTAGGCGTGTGAATGAGATAAAAGTATAAATGAAAGAAACTGAACGTGAACAACAACGAAACACACTGACAACAGCGACTACTCTTGGGGGATGAAAGTGATAAAACGCCAGGGTTGGAAAGTGCCACTCTCTTACGTAGTTTCCTATATTTAATGCTTCGCCGATAGCACACAATTTGCACACAAACGACATGGTGCGCCTTGTTCACTTATTTGTGCCATCTTATCGCACTCTCTGATAAGCGTGCTAAAAATTCATCAACACATTTTATCAATTGAAACGGAACACAAACCCCAGAGATATGACCATTAATTTTCCTCTACTTTGACAAATTCCCTCTTTCTCCACACTTTGGCACGACGCCAAATTCATTTCCACCAAATTTACAGTTACACCTAAGCGTCCACGTGAATTTTCGCAATTGTCCTGCAACAATGTGCACACGAGAAGCTCCCAGAAGCACCATCTGTGTGCAAACGACTGAGCGAAGTCATGGAAAATTGAAAAGAATACAATGAATTCACTTCGCAGCAAATGAGAATTCATCAAATTTACTGTGTGGCGTTTGTTTTTTCTTACTTATTTGTCCACCACCCTCAATTCATTTGAGTGCCTTATCTTGGTGGCCGCCATATTTATCGTCTTGTCGTCCATTTATAGCTTTGAAAACACACACGACATCAGACATAACCTCAGTTTTTTCCATTCAAATATTCTTTCTTTCATGCTGACGACTGTGATTTTTTTTCTGTATACCAATAATCTCACCCGTTAACCCGTACATTCTCTCACTTAATCATCCATATTTTGAACAACATGCAAAAAACAATCATCGAGAAGTTCTTTATTCATATCAGAAAGGCGATATCTTGCTGTGAATAGTCATTTTTTTGCCCGTAAATCAACCAATTCATCGGAATATCAATGATATTGAATGGGTTAGTTGATTCCTCCCTGGCTTCTCTGCAAACATTTACACACTGACGTCGTTTATCGTGAATATACGTTAACTGAGAACTCGAGAGACGTCGTGCAAATGAGCGAGATGGGACGTGAGAGGCGGTGAATGTCTTAAAAAGTGAACAGACGAATGGCGGGACGTGGAAGATGAGGCAAAATGGCAAAGCATGCGCATTCCGATACACTGACGTCGATATATCGTAAATGTTTTGCCCCGCGCGTCTCGAATCAGCCAAAAGGAGCATAACCACCACAAGCCAACGACGGCAGCGACAAGTCTCTCTCAGCTTTGCGAGTGATTCATACACCATTTCATGGGATGGTGTGTAAATTTAAAGGCAAAATTGCAACATTGGCTCACTCCTTGTCTCCACCATCCCGACATTATCGACATTTCGTAGCAATTCGTCTGTTTTCCTCCACTGAAATTCCGTCACAGACACATGCTCGCGACAGTGGCTGCTTTTAAATGTTCCTTGATTAGGCATTTGAGAAATTGTTATCAGGGAAGAGGAGCCGAGGGGGCCTGAGCAGGCACCAATTTATGCGATAACCCATCCCACTTGGCAGATAACGTCCGACTCCTATTATTGGGCTCTTGTGTGGCTGCGTGAGACGCGTTTTTCGCTCCCTTTCGCCTTCTCACCACTCGTCTTATCGCCAATATTGAAGTGTGACTTTAAAAATGGCGCTCGCATATCAACATTCAATTCAATGCGAGACTAAATAATTCATAAGTTTGTGTATTTTTGTTTTATACATCGCCCTGCGCATTTTTTCCAACCTCTTCTATATCGTCACTCTCTCGCCACAGTTGAAGATCACGTTCCGAGGAATTTCTCGATGGGATTTTTGGAGGCGGGAGAGACGCAAAAAAAACATCTGCCGCCAGATATTTATTTATAAAGTATATATTAATTTACTGTAAATATTTAACATATATCACAGCGCATGGAAGACAAACATTTACCATTGTGTCATACCTTCCTGTTTAGCATTAGATAGACGACTCTTTTCTCTTCCCGCGCGGGTCATTTGATCTTCCCTTTGCAGAGCACACAGATCTCCTATCGGGAATACATGCGCGCGCGTCTCCCTCGGAATCAAACAAAAGCGTGCTCATGAGTGTATCTGACAGGAAGGACACGTCTCTAAACCCGTTTGGAGGTTCTCACAAGCAATGCCACACACAGAACGACTTCAGTCTGTTGCTCTGTCTTGTCTCTCACATGATTATTGCATACACATCTTGCACATGGGACGGCGGCAAGAGTAAAATGATGAGAAATGAAGAGAACCTTGATATCGGGCATGACGTCAGGAGACTGTTGGAGGTTTCAAAATTCACAGTTAGGTCAGGTTCGGTGGTAAAGAAATACACACCATCTCTCTCTCTCTCTTTCACCACTTCGTCTCTCTCTCTTTCTCCCGCTCGCTCGACGCTCTCTTGCAAATTAAATAGTCCGCCGAGAAAACAATAAACAAACACGAAAGCCACAAGAACTCTCTTTTCGCCTATGCAACAACGACATATTAAATAATAACATAGAGTAGGAGAAAAATTACCATATTTGGTGGAACAATTCGTCTTCAAACTTGAAACTAACAATTAGACCGAAAGACATTTGTGCTGTCTCTCTTTCTCTCTCTCTCTTTACATACATTGTTGCCTTTTTGCGTGTGTGTTGCTCGTTTTTTTCTCTATACCTTTCGAATTGATTTATTTTTGTATTTCATTTCACATGCAATGTCGGTCGAACTTCACGTCACGCCAACCTTCCTCACTCCATCCACCTCACTCTCCGCGACAAAACAGTTTTATCCAATTGTATATATCACACGTACGCGGCAATTTATATATAACATAAAATGTCATTTAAATATAAATCGCGTGTTTTACCTTCTGTGTTTTTTCTCTACTTCTTCGACTTCACCCGTCCCGCTCTGACACAAAACTTTCCCATCCATGATGGTGAATAAATAGAAGCAATTTCTTATTTCATGCCATGCCACCTAGAAAAAAGATATCAGTCGATTTTCTTCACCTGCCTTTGCGCGGCATTTTTAATTGCAACTTTATGTGTGCTCCACGTGGGAAAACACGGCAAGTTCATGGGAATGAATTACAATATGATCTTAATTAAATTTAATTGAAATCTCTTAATCTCTCTCTCTCTCTCTGGCTAAAATTATAGAGTGAGAAATCTCATCACTTTATCTAATTAACTGAGGTCTTCAGATGATGATATTACTTTGCCATCATTCCTCCCAAGACGCTCGTTCGCCCGACCATCAAACAGCACATCGATTTTGCCGGGGAGAGTGCCGTGGTGGTTGGATTTCACCCCAAGTGTGGGGCATGTTGTGTGAAAATGGGTGAAAATGATATGGCAACATCGCATATTCACCGGATGCTGTCAGTCTAGTCGAGTAATCATCGAGTGTTGCTAACGATTTCCCCTGCCCCGCAACCGCCTCGTCCACCCACACCGTCGGCCGCTCTCGTCACACATCGTGCCCCAACCCCATCCCGCCCCGCGCGATCCGACATTCATTCCCAACCTCGCACACACCAACTCAGTTGCATAACTCAGCGCTGAAGTACAACCTGACACACTACTTTCATTTGCCCAGTCGATCGTGCGCGCGTGTGTGTGCGTAGCTCGTGTTCCAATACGTCAGGTGACGTCACGCGAGCCATTTATTCGCCTTCGCACCGTTGCCAGTTTTCGCCATCAAATTGGCAGAAGCCAAACATGAGCCTCCGCCGTCTCTTGCCCAACTGTTTAACCTCCGTCTCTCTCTCTCTTCTTCGTCTTTTCCTCATGCGCGCAAAAAAGGCACACACTGTGGTGGCGTACTTCCATCATCATTCTCTCTCTCGTACGTCCATCTCGTGTGCGGAGTGGGAATGGCGAGAGACTAGGTGGACAGACCGGTTTGAGAACCACTATATAGATATGGCCATGCATAAATTGTGTGCTGTAATAAAGAGCCCGTTGGTGGATCTCTTGCGCTTCGCTGAGTAGCTGGACTAACTGGCTCACTTCACACACTCTTACATACTGTATATTCTTGCCCGTGCACATGAGCAACTCCGCTGTTCTCCATCCGTGCCATTATTTTGTTACGAGAAAACCCGTCAAGCCGCTCAAGTGAAAACACACCAGCGCCATCAATTTCTGTGCGCACCTCAAATCTCACCACAAAAGACACCCGAGGATCCACACACAGAGAGAAAGGAAGCCAGCGCGACCGACAAAAGAATGGCAACTGCGTGCAAATTGCATTTGATTTAGGTGACAAGTGTATGATAACGGGAAGGACCACAAAACGAAAAATGAGAACGATGCACCGTTACGAGGCAGGAGTGCGAAGGGGTGCGCACACATGTCTGGCAACACTAGCAGGAAAAGGAGGAGGACAACCTTGCGTTGCCCTCCCAAACATTATAGCGTCCGGTTGAGAACGGAATCTTAAGGTGCACACACACCTATCGCACATCCCATCACCCTCTCTGTGCAGTTTCAACGGACAAGAAGTGAGCGCCAATATAACAGCAACGCGAAAGTGGGTTGAGCGTGAAATGTTGCCCGATGGTTGCCTTTCCAGCTCTTTTTACTGCTCCTCTCTCACTCCACCGTATTTATTTACTTCCTCTTGCCATCTTTTGAGCACAGACCCACCAAAGAACCCAGGCGAGCGATGCCAACCATCGTGCCGAGGTGATATGGAAGGGGGAGAGAGAAAAAATCAAACTCATGTTCCCAGAGGCGGAAAGAACCGTTACACATCGATCGAGGTTACCACGGGATTCTTATGCTATCTCTTGCAATAGCGGCTCTTGTCCCTCTCGCCAAGCTCGAACCGAAAAGAAATGAATCTCACACTTAATGGGTGGACGGATTCACTGTTACGAGGAATCTGCACAATATCAGAGCGCGCACCCATTGACAATTGCGATCGCACCATCTGGAGTAATATTACTCAACGGAGAAGCACATCTCCTCCTCAGCGGGCCAACTGAGTCAGTTTGAAGGTCACTTGCGTGAGCGAGACAAAAATTATGAGGTATATATGGAAAAGAAATGCGTCAAATGTCTATTTTGGGTTCACTTTCGAATACGAAGGGAGTCACAGAGCCACGAAAATTGTGCCTTTTGTCGCACTCTCGGGTCTTGAGAGGCGACAGCAAATGCCAGATGGGCTTCACATGCAAAGAAGGGGTACACAGGGAGCTTAGATACAGGAGAGGTCCCTCCGCAGATGATACAGAAATATCAGAAGGAAGGACAGACGGAAAAAAGTGTAGATGAGGACACAGACACACAACACAAAGGGGGTTGGTCACTTACCGAAAAAAACTGAAACGAAAAAATTGTGTCATATTAGAAAAGTCTTTGTGTCTTTCATCACTAGACAACGAAATAGAGTAAGAGAGAGAGAAACGTTAAGGATAAGTGAAACATGTTAGAGAAACACACAAGATATCTTATATAGAGAAGGCATCGATTTTCTGCACATATGAAATTACTTCGCTTGTTAAAGGTACTTCGCAGATGGTGGCTCAGTACGTCTCTCGAATAGCTTTAATCCCATGTCTCCAATGAGCATCCGTGCCGAATCGCTTGACGATTAAATAGCGCACAAGTTGAGAAACAAATTAGGAAAATACGAGATTTTGCCGATTTCGAACGTCAATTCGTGGTGGTCAATTTTGCGATAAAAAAAACAAAGAGACAAGAAGAGAGAAAGTGAAGTCTTCACGTCGAGGTCGCAAGACAAAAATTCTTCGAGTTCTGACTCTGGCGACGGGATGATTTAACTGACGTCGATGACGATGACAAAACAAACATTCACCCGCGGTTTAGTGAAAACATAAAAAGCCATTGGACACTTTTAAAATACAGCACTCTGAGCGAGCCCTGGTGCTTCTTCAGTTCTTCCCTCTGGGTTAAACATGCCAATATTCATGAGGATTTGTAGCAAGTATGGTAATGATGTGATTTAACATCCAAGAATGGAAGAACCGACAGGGTGCATATGATAAAGGCCAGAATGATGAAGCAAAGCTCGAGGAATTGCAACTCACCTCCGGGCTTGAAAGTGGCTGTGTCGAAGGACGGGGCGCGCACGGGGTGCTTGTCCTTGAAGCTGGGCTGCCTGTCGGGCACGAAGGGCGCCGCCGGCAGCGACTCGCCGCGCGTCAGCGGCGGCCTGGCCGACGGCACGTCGTCAGGGCTGCGCTTCACGCTGACGCTGGGAACGCCGTCGGCGTGCTCGTCGTCGTCCGGCGGCGGACGCTTGAGGTTCACTGACAGCGCCGGCGGGGCGGCCGCGGCCCGGTTTGACATGGGCAGATGGTGCGGCGGCATGTGCGACGAGATGCGCACCGGCCGCACCGTGGCCTCGTGAGGCTCCAGTTTTGTCGTGTAGTCCATGAGCCCCGGCGCCGCGGCGGCGGGGCGCTGCAGCGCGTAAGTGTGATGATGCGAGGCCGGGACGCCCCTGTGGGCCGCCGCCACCTCGCCGTTCTCGTGGGCCCTCTTGCCGGCCGAGTGGGCGCGCTTCATTTGGCGCGCCGTGTCGAGCACCAACTCAATCCGGTCGGCGCCTTCGTAGTTGACACAGCCGCGGCACACGGCCTCACTGAAGTCATGGATCATGGCCCACGGCATCCGGGGCAGATCGCACAAGTAGCAGTGCTGGCGCTTCGTCTGGACTGACATCCTGGCAGCCTGTGATCCTCGCAACTCTAAATCCACTTTGCTGAAATCCGTTCCAACTGCTTATCTTCCACCGCTAGCGGCGCACAGGGCACACAATTATGCCAGAAATTGTTCGTGAATGCCACGGAAATACACTATCAATCCACTAATTGGGAATTCCATCAAGTCTCTCTGGCTGTCTCGTCCCCGGCCGCGCAATCGATCGGACTGAGGCGCGCTCGCAGTCTCAAGCCGACGGCAAGTGCTTCACCGAAATCATTCGACGCGCTAATTCCTGCCTCCACTTCGCCCACGAATTAACCACACTCCCAAAAAGTTGTCTGTTTTTCCCTGCCAACAAATTTTCCAGCTAATCTTTTCCGCTTCGAATGCTCACAACACTGAGACGACAAGATACAAGATTCTCCTAAGTTCTATTCTCTAAAATCCTGGTAGAGAATAGACAAAAAGACACCACTTCGAGTCGCTAAATCCGCCAAGAATAATGTTGTGTTTGCGTGAAAATTACTTAACACTCTTCGGACTGTGTTGAGACTTCACTACTCTTTTTTTACTGCTCCACACGAAAATTCCACAGTCGCGAATCGCGCGAGTCGATCACATTGAATGAAGCGATGCTAAAATGTTCCGAGTCAGACCTCCTTTGCAGCCGTCTCACTGAGGCACCAACACTCGCGCGCCCCCGAGCGCGCGCCAGTGTGCGTGCATGGCATCCCGTTCGCTCTGCCGCCATCGCTCGCCCCCTTTCACTCTCACTCGTGGCGAGAGCGCGGCATCTGGCACGACGACGCGTCAGAGCGAGCGGGAGGGGCGATCGCTGCCTCTCGCCTTGGCACTCTTCAGCGGCTGAGCGAGCGCGCGCGTGTGTGTGCGATGCTTTCGTCAGAGGCGACTCGGGTAAAATTATACCAAATTCCCTTTTAACATTCAATCCGTCCAACTTTTGCGATATCCGCATACATGCCACTGCCATCGCCCGCTCGCATGTGTGCGCGCGTGTGTGTGGCTTTAAAGAGAACGCGATGCGGCGCGCAAGTGTGCGTGAGCTTCGTAATGCGTGTTCCAAATTCGTCATGACACGACTGAAAAGCTGTGGTTGGGATCGCTTTTTTTCCTTCATCGAGTTTCCCCCACCTCGTTGTCAGGGGTGGGAAAATGGCAGCAAAAAAGCGTCTTGCAAGCCGATGCTCAGCACTGCGCGAAAAGGGGTTCATTTTCCATCCAGTGCAGGAAAATTGGACAAAAAGAGCCCCCGAGGAGAGTGTCGCTATTGATTTTTCAGGCGGTCTCAGCAAAAAAACGAACGCGAAATTTTCCACGTTCATTGCGCGCATAGAAAAGGTCCACTTTGCACTTTGCATGCAGGTTAAAAACCTGAAAAATTTGCATAGCCAGCGCGAGAACCGGACCGCTGGCGAGAGCAAGTGGGACCATTATTGCTTTTTCTTTGTAAATAATCCTACAACGCGCGATGGTGCCTTTTTTCGACATGCTCGTCATAAAATTGAGGAAATGTGGGGAGCGAGAGAGAGAGAGCTTCAAGTCAAAAATGTGAGGTTTGTGTACGAGTTTTCCTCACTTTCAAGAGTAAATGAACTCGTCCGAAATTAACTTGGCACCCAATGGAATATTGCTTATTTCAGTTTTCTAACTGCATTTAAAGCTCCTACCTCTCGGCCCTACTCTCCCTCTCGCTCTGCCTTGTAACCATTATCAATGTGTGCGCTTTAACGGCACGGACGAGGCAATTTCTGGGCCGAGACGGGCTGCAGTGGGGCTCTACAAGGCCCGAGCGGGACGCCAAGTCCCTCCGGCCGCGCGCCAGAGCGAGATGGACGGATAATGGGTAGGGCTACATCTCTCTGAAAGCCATGTCAGTGCGGCGAAGAGGCTGATGAATGCAGAATTATTGAATAACGTGACGTCACTGACGCCGAAGCCGCATGCGTTAACAAAACGGAAAACCTCCCGTCGCTCGACGTAGCGCTGATGGACACAACATTACACGGTCGTCGGGCGCTGCGGGGCTGGGAAAGAGTGAGACAGAGCATGTTCGTGATGATGTAATTTCAGGAATATATTCTCAAAATAATAATAAAACTATTTGGCAGAGACAGAACACTTCGAACAATGTGCAATGTCAAAGGTGAGGTTAAGTACTTGCATGAAAATTAGAGTAAAAAGTCAATTTTCACCTCTCACAGTTGGCAAACGCTGCAATAAAAAAGAGTCACGAAGAAGGGTGCAATCGTACGAGTCAGATAACTGCGAGGCAGTCGTTTTTCCTCTTGATAAGCCCAAATAGTTAAAATTGCGTAGTGTCTTATACGGAGTTCGGCAGTGACTCGGCAGAGGGCGCTGCAGAGGAGCATTGAAAAAAATCACGAATGTCGAATGTTACATAATATTCCGCTCTGGCGAACGCGCGAATGTGTTGGGCAAAAACGAGTCTGCAACGTCACCATACACCAACACATCGTCACGTAGCGTCACACGAAAGCGCCGTCACGAAGGCCGCCGAGATGGCACGACGGGGATCGTCTCGTAATACGTGTCCACATTTCTCTCCTCATCTCTCACCCTCCGCGCGAAACACGATAATATATCGGCCGCTTCTCTCTTGCTCTCTCTCTCTCTCTCTGTTGACTTTTTCTCTTAAATTCATTTCATTTGATTATTCATTCGCTGCTTGCGATCTTTCGTGGTAAAAGGCGCAACGTCTCCTGGTAGTTTCAAGCCTCCATCGAGGGAGCGAGACAGCAAATGAGATTCCTCCATGCACAGAAAACATTCCCATGTGCCTCTTTTCACGTTTATAACACAATATTCTAAATTTATACAGTTTCACTGGCTTTTTCGTCTCTTTGCAGGTTAAAGAAATACACAAAGAACTTGCTTGTTCCTCTGTCTCGCCTCATCTGCCTCTCTTTCCCTCAATCATATGTGCGATCATCATCGCTATGCACAGAAATCTCGCGACTGGGATTCCACTTCTCAAATTTGGGCGCTTTTTATTATTGTCTTTCCTCGGACTCTTTGTCATGTGCACCCAAAGTGGTCGCTTTTCGGCCATAAGGTCAGTAAATTACCTAAACAACTCACTCCAGCGTCGCGAGACTTGGCAACGCAGATCGCAAATGTCTCAAGAAATCCCCTCAAACCGCCTCGTTCGACACTTTTATTCCCCCCGTCCAGAGTGGACCCCAATCAACGGGTGACTTTGAAAATGTTATTATGGAAAGCTTAAAAGTTTTCCTCATGAAACACAATATCGGGCTATAAAGCCGAAGTGTGATGGCTATTTTGCAAAATTGGATGTCGATTTTATGGCTTCCGACGAGATTCACAATTTCTCGTGCAATTCCCAGGGAAATTTTACATGCAGAACGCGCAGATAATTTCCATTTTGCGTATAAGACACCAAATAAATCAATACAGAAGCGATATATACCTTGGCAAGAGTTGAGTGAATTAAAAGGGTCGGCGTTCACGGAACCAGATAAAATGGATTTGAGGTAATGCCAAGAGGGCACTTTTACAGCGATATCTCGACTGAGTTGATGGAGATTTTGGGGAGAATTTATGTGGCTATTTAGGGCCATTTAGCATTTTTTGTCTTCAGCCACACAATCTCGCAAGCAATGAGTCGCGTGAGCCATTTGATAAGTAATAAGCAAATTTGGCGATAGTGTTGTTTGCCATTTTGGGTGGGTAGCGCTAACGAGAGCAGTGATTCAAGAGAGTCCTCTGTTTGAGGCTTATCACTCGCCAGGGCGGCGAGGGGTGAAGACGCTAAGTGAGGTGTTCTGTGTGTGGAGAGGAGATATCAGGAACATGTGTGATATGCTATCGAGGAGTGAAGAAAAAAAGCCAAAAAGGAAAATAAAGCTGTTAAAATAAGGTAACAATAGAGCCTCTATAGGTTCTCGTCGTGCTAATCTAATCATCCGAGCAATGAAATGTGCGATAAGAGTTTTTCTGTTGATACCAAGTCTTCAAGAGTCTAACTCTGTAGTGCTCTTCTGTGAACTTCCCTAGCTTTCCCTCGGGCCATTCACCTCTTTCCTCGCGGAGCTCCTCATGGCATTTGATGATGATGAAGAACCCAATTGACGAGACTCAATGCGGATGCATCTTGTGACCTCATTTTCCTCCATCATTCTTTTCACATCTCAACAGAGTTCAGTAAATCTCTTCAAGGTGATGTTGGAGTATGTTTCGAGGTGAAATTTTACCTCCTCGCGACCGTGTCTAACAGACAGAGATGGCCAGAGTGCTGATGTTGTGGCGTGAGTGAGATGGCGAGAGAAACGGGACACGGTTGGTTACAAAAGAAAGAAAAATTCTTGAGTCTCGGAATCCGCGTCTTGCGTCTTTGAGGTCACACACGAGAGTCAAAAACGAGTTCTGAAAGTGGTCCATTGCTCTTTCTTGCTTTCCCCTCACGACAGAGGCCTCGGTCCACCCCTCAGTCTCTCGCCACAGCCGACATTCTCAGGTGGATCAACTCTCGATCATCCCAGAAGATCTGCGGCCAATTTCTAATGCTCACGATCTCGAATTGGGTCTCTCGACTGTCTCTTCTGAGTCCGCCTTCTGACACTCTGAGACTCCGCGGAAGGTTTTCACCTTTTGAAAATGGAAAAGTTGGGCTGAGGAAATTGCGTGGAATGCATTAGGGGCGAGCAAATGAACAACTCTTCATTCTAATGATAAAAGAGGCTTCAGAGATATAATAAAAATAGAAATTCCCATCTTGATGGCATAAAACACTCTTGGATTATCCGTTCATTCAACCCTACACCCGAAAATTTGACTGATAACTGCACGATAATTCACTACTGCAATGGTATGTATTGTGTACACATAATATAGAAGAAAAGGTCATATTTATCTAATAGAACATGAATACAGGAAGTATTACGTGAGGTGATTTCGTAAATCACCCAGATTTGTGTTAAACTATAGTAATATTTATATCTAATGATGCCATTCTATCCGACATTTGAATTACGGATGAGTTACTGAATGTTAGGCCGGAGAAAAGATCATTTGGGATCAGAGTTTAGGCTCTAAAAGTGCTATAAAGAAAGTTTTCAATTATAATTTACTTCAAATGCTCATTAGAAACGTCAATTAATAACGATTACAGCTCAGCAGCAGAAATCTTAGTATAGTCAAGGAAGTAATTTTGATGTGAGTCCTCAGTTCTCAGCGACTAGTGTTTCTTTGGGCGCTGAAAGCAATTAGTCAGGATCGTGATTCATGCTCGGGATGGTGACTTGCCAGCCTCTGGTTGAAAGGAATAGCGCGTCTGCGCAGGCCGAGTCCAATTGCTGGCATTCTGGTGAGTCCTGGCGGTTGCCATGACGCTCCCCTTGGCTGTGTGAGTACCTCTGGCACCCTCTCTTCCTGTTCCTCTCCTCCTGGCCCACCCACACCGTGGCAAGTCGACGCGCTGCTCGCGGATCGATTGGGGTGCGAAGTTAGCCAGGGTCTGGGACGTGTTCCCGGAATTGAGTTGCGCGGGTGAGTGCCAGGGCTGGTGGGGTGTGGATGAATTGTGTAAATGGGCCGCGCTCCCCTCCTCGGCCGGAACTGGAAAAAGAAAGATGGGAGCAAAAAATT